GACCCCAATCCCTCAAAGATCCATGAGCTGTGAAGGGGTTCATGAAGTGTGACCCCAATCCTTTGAGGACCCATGGACTGTGACCCCAGTYCCTCAAGGATYCAGTCTCTTGAGGATCCATGAACTGACCCCARTCCTTTGRGGACCCATGGACTGTGACCCCATCCCATGAGGACCATGAAGGGGGCAGGTTCTCCCTTAGGGACCCATCACCTGGGGCCAGTCCCTGGCAAGAGGTGCCATCTCCTTTCCTGGGCTCCAGCAGGAGCTGGTGCCATTTCTGGCCGTGCCGGGCAGAACGGGCACAGTTCCAGGCAAATTGCATTTTATCAAGAGTGCATCATCCAAAAGGGAGAATCGAGGGCGCTGTGCAGTGCAGGGGAGTGGAGAGTGGAGCACTTCACCCTGGCCTCCCCCTGGGAGCAGGGAATGAATTATTAACGGGATTTATGGCTTCTGTTTCCTCATTCCAAGGTACAAACCCTCACACAGGGAAATGGGGAAATGGAACCGGAGCTGTGGCTGCTCTTGGCAAACACAGCCGTTACAGCAATAATTATTGATTGGGAGATTTTAATATCGGGGAAAATAAAACAGAAGAAAATGGGATCTGGCTGAGTTTGTGCCCAAGATACTGCTGGGCTTGTTGGGGAGCCAGTTCCCAAACCAGGTTGGGATCCTGGAGTTGGGAATTCTGTGATCCTGGAGTGCATTCTGTGATCCTGCAATGGGGTATTCTGTGATCCTGGAATGAGGAATTCTGTGATCTTGGAATGGGGAATTCTGTGATCCTGGAATGAGGAATTCTGTGATCTTGGAATGGGGAATTCTTTGCCCTTCCCTGACAGAGATGGCCCTGCCTCCCTGCAGTATTTTGGGGAGGGGTCCCAGGTATTTGGGATACTCAGCATCCACCTCCTCYCTCAGGACTAAAATCATTTGGGGTTTCCCTGAAACCTGTCCTGGAAACGAACCCAAGCACAAACCAGGCCCTACTCTAAGGTGGAAGGGAATCCAAGAAAGRGCACAATTCCCAGCAGGAAAGGGCGGGTGACACAGAGGGAACGGGACCACGGAGGAAGCAGCTGCTCAGGAGGGAGGGCAGAAAAAATGGCATCAGGAAGGAAGAGAGGAAACGCATCCCCATGGAGGAAATCCTGGAGGATTCCCAGCCCTTAGTGGTTGCCCTCTGCTTCTTGCTGCAGGTTTGAGATTGGAAATGTGCCCACAAACCACATGGATCAGTTTGGATTTCCTGCACAGGAGAGGGACTGGGAGCACCCCGAGCCCGCAGTGCCATAGGAGCTGACCCCAAAAGTCCTCGATTCCGGATCCCTGGTCAGGGATGGGCAGCTTTGCAGTCCCACCGCAGCTCAGCTGCTGTTCCCATCGCCTGCAAACACCCAGACAGGGCTGGCACTGGGCTGGGATGGCCCTGGAAGCCATACGGTGTCCAGCCCCTCCTGGGGGATCCTCTGGCCCACCCATGAGGGACATGATGGGGTTCAGCTCTGAGAACACGATGGGGTTCAGCTCCATGAGGACACAATGGGGTTCAGCTCTGAGGGACACAATGGGGTTCAGCTCCATGAGAACACGATGGGATTCAGTTCCATGAGGACATGATGGAGTTCAGCTCCATGAGAACACGATGGTGTTCAGCTCCATGAGAACATGATGGGGTTCAGCTCCCCAAAAACACGATGGGATTCAGCTCCGAGGAACACGATGGGGTTCAGTTCTGAGGAACACGATGGGGTTCACCTCTGAGGGACACAATGGGGTTCAGCTCCCTGAGGACACGATGGGGTTCAGCTCCAAGAGATGGGGTTCAGCTCCAAGAGATGGGGTTCAGCTCTGAGGGACACGATGGGGTTCAGCTCCAAGAGATGGGGTTCAGCTCTGAGGGATATGATGGGGTTCAGCTCCCTAAGAACATGATGGGGTTCAGCTCCCTGAGAACACAATGGGGTTCAGCTCCATGAGAACACGATGGGGTTCAGCTCCATGAGAACACAATGGTGTTCAGCTCCCCAAAAACACAATGGGGTTCAGCTCTGTGAGAGACACGATGGGGTTCAGTTTCCAAGGAACACGATGGGGTTCAGCTCCATGAGAACATGATGGAGTTCAGGTCCATGGGGACATGATGGGGTTCAGCTCCATGGGGACATGATGGGGTTCAGCTCCGAGGAACAAAATGGGGTTCAGCTCCAGTCACTGCCATCCACACGGAGCTTCCACCATCCCAGACCAGCTCGCCTTCCCCATGCCAATGCCCTGTGCCAATTCCAGCCCTGGAGCTGCTCAGTTTTGGGGTGCCCCAGGAGCAGCACCAGCCCGTCCTGCTCCCGCCCCTCTCCAGCCCAGCAAAGAGGCACCGAGACGCTCCCAAGTCAAACTCTCCATTTATTGGAACCTTTTACAAAAAACTCAACATTGTGCTCGTGTCGAAGGAGTGCTCCTCGTCTCTCTCAGTTCCTGTGGGATTTGGAATCCCGGTGCTCGGGCACCGTGGGCACAGGGGGAGGGCAGGGGCCGTGTGGCACGGACGGGGACGGGGCCGTGTCACCTCAGTCATCGCTATTTACAGCAGGAAAAGCCTCGCTCCGYGCCCGGGGGAGCAGCAGAACTCGGGAACGGGGAAAAGGCCTTTCCCTGGGAAAGGTGCAGCTGCCAAGAGCCCTTCCYGGCTCCTCGGGATTGGGGCRGATCGTACAACCGAACCTGAGCTTYGGRGTGACCCTGGGACAGCCTGGAAATCCCGGGAGAACGATGGGGAGTAGTGAGGATGTTTGGGATGCTCTCCTGCCCCTCTGCTCCCTGTGGTGGGCAAAGCCCAAGGACAGCTCAGCCCCTGTGACCTCTCAGGAGCAGAAAGCCAGGCGTGGAATTCCCAGGCTCTGCTCTGGGGGTTCTGTTTGGGATGATTTAGGAAAAAAACACAGCAGCAGGAGCAGGAGGGGCAGCACCAGCCCTGAAAGGTGGAGAAAGAGATGTTCCTGCTGGCATTTTGTTTCCTCATGGAATTCCATCTCTCCCAACACTGCTGCTGCCTGATGTCCCCCTGGAGCAGCCTCTTTACCCCTTCACCCCAAATCCTCCCCTTTGGGGGTGCTCAGCAAGGACGAATCCATCCCAACAAAAAAACACCTTAGGAAAAAGGCCCCGGAGCCCGGGGAAGAACAGCTGAGTTTGTTCTGCTGATCCTTCCCTGATCTCAGCTGGCCTTGGATCCAAACACACCAAGGAAAGGAGAATTCCCAGCCCGGGGTTCCGACATCCCGACATCCCGAGCCCCAAACGCACTCGGTGATGCCAACATTTCCCATC